TCTGAGGTAAGATAAGCAAATCTTTAAGAAGGCTGACAGCTGTGTGAAGGATTGTTGAAATATATTCACAGCGCATAGCCTCATTGCTGTCAACAACTGGACCCATATTTTTTATTCTGCGAAGAATGTCGTCAATGCAGAGCTTAAACTCTGGAGAATTTTCCTCTATAGGGTGGAAGTCTATAAATGGAATTTGTAAGTCCGAAATTTGTTAACGAAAAATTGTCATGCATATAACTTACCTGGAGCGAACTGAGGTATGCTTGTTATGCTATCACTATTAATGTCATATTTCGCCAATACCTCACTCAAACTGCGGTATGAGGAGAACGCACGCTTCGGCTTTTCTTTGAGGACCTGGACCTCTTTTGTGAGAAGTTTTACTGGCCCCATTTTCAATCCAGCTTGCATAAAATCTTCCTTACTCATATCGAGAAAGGAGAGGCCAGTAATTTTTTCGTTGCGGAGTACTCCCAAGTCATCGTCGTCGAGCTTGAGGTTCTGCTCTTTCAAAAAGTCGATAAGGGTTTCTGTATCCCAGTTCTCAACCAAGTAAGAGTCGTGTTCAGCTGTTGAGGTAGACATAGCGCTTTTATATGGTTATTAGGCTCAGACAAAAAATAGTGTTACTTTCCGGAGTGAGATAAAAATTTATTTCTGGGATGGGAAAAAAACAAGCGCTAATATATATTTTTATGTCGCACAGGAATTGTATCATTACACGTGACCCATTTCTCATGTACATTCGATAAAATAACAATAATAATACTTTATTTATGAAATAAAAAACGTTGCCGGAAGTCAGCCTACAATACATAAAATTGCGAATATATCGCTATTACATGATACAGAAAATTATTTGGGGTATACAGTGATATGGAAGTGCTCTGCTTTAGGCTTCTCATCAAAAGTAAAAATTTCAGAAAACTGATCGTACTCGTCCATTTCCCTTTCAATAACACTTCCAGCTTGAATTATACAAATTTTGAGAGGGATTTTATTAAATAGTGTCCCCAATCTGCTTTGAATTTCAGCCTCGATATCTCTAGCACCTTCATGTTTGCGAACTACAATTGCTTGCATTACTTTAATACCTGGAATATTCATAAGTTTTCCTATAGGAATGATAAGACAATTGAGAATGATGGTGTCAAAGCTCATTTTGATTCCTAAATACAAGGCACATAGTGAGAAAAACTCGCTTCCATATCCGAAGGTGCTAAAACATAAGCATAACTGATTCCAGAGGAACCATCTCTGGCATATACATACCTTGTTTTACGTTATTTTTACGGGAATGTTTTTTTGCGAAAAGTTGGCTGAACTTCCACATACCCCTACATGCTTTATATTTTGCTGTTGGGAAGGAAAAAGAGCGCTAAGCCGAAGTTAAGGAGATAAAAAATAGTGATTAGCATTGTCGTATGATGCCAAGAGTTCTATGAAAGCACATGTAAACGGAATCCTCATACCTCTTCACATATAGATCTACCGGAAAGACATATACTTGGTTTTATGCCTGGTGATCTCGAAATTGCAAGTCCCTCAGCCTTTCATAACATATGCTTTTGCCGTCATTATTTGTTTATAGGGTAAGTCCTGTGTTGCAACTAGACCTCCTTTCACATTTTTCTCATGTTTGTACGGGAAAAATAAAAAACAAAGGTTAATATGTTTTTTCTTTTTCGAATATATATATGATATGTCACACGAGACCTGACTGATGATCCACTTATTTTTGTCGCACAATCTGTGGCTCAGCAAAAAATCTAATTAATGATCATGCTCTGCGCATCTCAGCCCACTCCGGACTGTTGATCTAGTCAACCATGGATCGGAATACCACCGCAAATTATCTCGCATACTTAGATCTAAAAGGCTCTGAAGGTTCTGAGCTAAAATCTGTCTTCTAGCAACATTGTTC